ACATCACCTCGGTAGAAGAAGAAGGAGAGGTCGAAGCTCGCGCTGTCTCATTCCATTTTTAGTCACCCCTGAAGAAGGAGTCAAGTCGACCCCGAAACGTTGGGAACTGTTGTTTCTAAACTTTTGGTTTGAGTTTTCTTTTTTTCGAACTTGAATACTGTAGGATGGGATGCACCGATAGAATTTTGGAATACCCGGTGACAGCTTTCAACGCTATTGTTGGTTCTGGGAAGGCTGACCTCTGTTACGCGCTTGCCATTCCACATTCCAAACAAGTCCAGCAGCTGTCTTGCGAGCATGCGATATCTGCCGCAGACGTCGAAAACATCGCAGAAGCACAGTGCGATGAATTTCTTCAGGATGAGGTGGCAGCTGGAATCATCAATGAATCGCGTCTGCATGCCCAGCTCTTGAATTCGGCGCCAGATGCTTTGCGCGAAATGAAATAAACATCCATGCACATCGACGTCAGAAATGTATCTCCAAAAAGCATTCTCTTCAGCCTTTTCGAAGTCCATCACTATTGTGCGCACCTGGCGTGGCCTTGAAGTGGCATCGTCAATAGCCTCAAGTAGCATGCGTGTTGCTCTTTTGTACGTCGCTTCGCGCTTGTTCGGCAAAAGACAGTATAGAAGGGGAAGCACCCTGCCTTTGTAGAGGCCATGAACAACTTAAAGCTGATAAAACATCTCTGGTGCTACTTTAAATGTGCCGTCACACAACCAGGTTTCGCAGGTGTTTAAACGGCACAGGTCCGTGTTACAGGCGAAAATCATTATTCTTTCCGAGTCAATACAGCCTGTGTCCCCTGCGAGAAATACATCAGGTGACGCTGTTCCCGTTATGCGCAGGTGTTCAGGGACAATTATGTCTTCGATTCGGTGGAGAACTTGAGCTGTGCCATGGGCTTCGCGTCGAACTCTGTTAACCTTCCTTTCCAGTGATGACAGCTTGGGGAGCTTCGCGATAGTCGCCAGTCTTGCCCCTTGTAGGCAGGCGGTGACGACGTTCCGAGGGGTGTCGTGGGAACGCTTGGCTGCAGTCTGATCTCATCTTGTAAACGAGCCGCAGCGACATTTTCTGGACTCGGTAGATGGCAAGTATGGCCTTGTGTAACAGTGGTCGTCTCACCTGCAGTAACAGCTCGTTTCCGGCAACTCTCCTGGACTTTCTCGCATCTCCATGCCGTCTTCTCGTCGTTGGTCCTGTGCTTGGTGTACATGTAACCTTCGAAGCAGAGCTTCGGCGATCCTCGACGAGAAGCCACAAAGGTGGCCATGTTCTATAAACAAACTCGATGACAATTAATCAGTCGGGCCGGCTGGACTGTTCGACTGATGGAAGCTCGATGCCAAGTGCAGGACGGTCTTACGTGGCACGGGTGACAATAGGAGAAAGACGAAGTGCATGTGTCGGCTCCGCGCGTGCGAAACCGATTTTATAACTTATTCTTCTAGGCAGAACACTTTGTGGTATAAAATATCCAGGTATGAAATGTCCTTGGTATGAAGAGTCTTGGGATGAGACGTCTCGGGATAGAACGTTTCTGGCATGAAGTGTCGGGGATAAACAGTCCTGGGATGAAGTGAGTAGCCCTTAAATCGGCTGGACCGTATGGACTATTCTTGCATCAAATTTCGTGGTACGAATTGTTTATGGGATGAACTGTCTTGGGGTGAAACATCCTGAAATGAAATTACTTTGGTATGATGTTTCTGGGATGAACTGTCCTGCGATGAAGTGTGGTAGGGCCCATCAGGGGGCTGCATGCACGAAAAGTACCCTCCCCCCCCCCTCCCCCCCCCCCCTCACTCACCACGACTCGCCTGGCGTCGCTCGACGCGCCGGACGGCTGTTTCGGTAACTTCAGTGTATTCTATGCGATACGTAGGTTTCAAAGCACACCGTCTAGATGGCGCTTCAGCTCTGCTCTTTGGAACGCACAGTTATCAAACGAAAATCTAGATGGCGCTTCGAAAGACGGCAGGCTAGCAAAAGCGCGCGTGTGTATGAAGGCACTCTACGGCAGGCGGACTAGAGTGAGTGAGGGGGCATCATAAGTCATAAGCTTCTGCCAATAATATTTAAAAATTTATTCTTTCTATGAAACCGCTGAATCTTGCAAAATAAGAAGTCATTTATCATTGTCCTCTCGTACGACAGACGCTTAGATTGCACGACGGAGGACATGCCTGCCGATTATATATATATATATATATATATATATATATATATATATATATATATATATATATATATATATATATATACAGGGTGCGGCCGTAAAAACTTTAACATTTGGCACGCCTAGCAAAAATCGAATTTCAAACATACATACCTGAAATTGGGCACACGAACGTCGATTATTCCAAAGCTTTTTGCCTATTTTTTTCAGGCATCAACTCTGGAGTAGCGAATTATTAGAAAGATAACAAAAATGGCAGACGTGTATTTCCTATGGCCTATACCCGCCCGTTCGCCGTCTGCTATCTGGTTCGCGACGCCGCTCCCAGGTGGCGCACTGAACGCAAAAACTAGGGAAACCCGCTCGAAAGGCTGGTGTCGGGCGAGATAATCGCGATAAAAAGTGATTTGAACCAAATATATGAAGAATTGTTGAAATTACCTGTTTCAAGTCAAGTTCTGACAGATCGTCATGCAAGCAAGAAGACACCATGATGTGACGAGATCATTTATTTACAGCTGCTCGTCTTGTTGACAATTGCGGGTCGCTCTCGAAGACAGCAAGCACCGCTTCAATGAGCTCCTCATTTTTCAGTAGGCTCTCACGTTCACTGACTGGATTCTTCTTTTTACAGTCTTCTCCACTCACAAAACGATCCGCCCAACTCAAAACAGTTGGGCGTGAAGGCGGGCGTTTATGAAATGCAGTGCGAAATTTTCGTTGTGCTGTGGCCACCGAGTTCCGCTCCACGTACCACTTGACTGCCTGGGCACACTCACTTGCCGAGTATTGTGGCATCGCAGGGCGGCGCGGAAAATATTTTGATAATAACTGCAGAAGACAGTGCAACAAAAGCAATAAATAGGAACAATCAAGATGCCTCAGCAGCGGCACCCTTGATTCCAAAGTTGAGCTTTCACCGGGAACGGACCCGTCAACAGATAAGCAGACGACAAATGAAGACACACGTTCGTCTGCTTTAGAACATATTTTTATTAAACGAGGGCGTCCGCCAGTCTCTAAATTTCAAGTAAAAGGGCATAATCGTTCACATATTTCGGTAAAATCACTTTTTATTGCGATTATCTCGCCCGACACCAGCCTTTCGTGCGGCGTTTCCCGCGTTTTTGCGTTCAGTACGCCATCTGGGAGCGGCGTCGCGAATTAGATAGCAGACGGCGAACGGGCGGGTATAGGCCATAGGAAATGCACGCCTGCCATTTTTGTTATCTTTCTAATAATTCGCTACTCCAGAGTTGACGCTTGAAAAAAATAGGCAAGAAACTTTGGAATAAACGACGTTCGTGTGCCCAATTTCAGGTATGTACGTTTGAAATTCGTTTTTTGCTAGGCGTGCCAAATGTGAAAGTTTTTACGGCCGCACCCTGTATATATAACTGAGAAGAACCCACTCCGCGGGAGTTCCACAATTTAGGTAATCTAGTAACGGTGGTGCTTGGGTAATTACAGAGCCGTATATGTAGAGAGTTTGGCCATTCATTGGGAAGTATAGGAGAAAAATGAGGAGGCGCCATTGGCCGAAAGCGGGCTAGGCATGTTCCAGGGTGTCTTCACAAATTCGAATGTGGCCAACCAGAAGACGCAGAAACAATACCCTGGTGGTTGTCGCGCGAAACGAGATTAATGAGGGCGTTGGAGTAACACTCCGTGACTGAAAATATGGTGCACGTGATGTTTCAATCACAATCACCCAAAATCATAGTGGAAGAGAGCATATAGCGGAACGATCGACATAATCCGTACGCCAGGCACCGAGGGCCGGGAATCGGCCGTTCGAGCGGTTACACACTGTCCGAGAAAAAAAGCGTTCGAGCGGCACATTCGTCTTTCTGCATGATTATAATCGAAACATCACGTGCACCCTATTTTCAACCAGGAAGGGTTAGTACATTTAACTCTTACGCGCTTATTAAAACCATATACCTATGACTAAAACTGTTTCCTGCCACTACCGCTTGGGAATTTCTTTCGGCTTCTGGTTGGCCAAGAAAGCATGTCGAGCCTTCTTTCTGCGTCTGGTGCACGCCCTGGCTCTGCCCCTGCCTCCCATTGACCAAACTCTCTCTATACACGGCTTTGGGTAATTAGCTAAACGTCTATTACTTTAGATAACGATGTGCGCGTCGTAAGATGCGCGTTCGCCCTCACGGCCGCGGCGCAGAGGAGAACGCCATTACGGCGCTCGCTCACCTGCCTCAGCCGCGCGTCGCGGAGGCAGATTTTGCGCGTGGGGTGTGCGTCGATGAATCTAAAGAGCGCCGCTGCCACTCCGCCACTTGACTCGCCGTCCGCTAGACAGCGTGGGCTGTACTCAACGAGGTAGAGGGCTTACAGCACTAGCAGTCCAGACCAGATGCCCAAGTTTCAACACTAACCGTTATATTACTCAAACGTTATAAGTACTTTTCTGAAAAGTTTTGTACGGAAATGGGACTCATCTTTGCCCGTTTTTGGTAATTGTCGCTACTCCATGCATTCGAAACTCTGTCGGCCGCCCTTTTCCCAATAAAATGTTTAAAAAAAATCGCGTATAATTTTTTAACAAAAAATCACGGTTTGTCGTGAAATTGGCATCTGGTGCGGCGGACAGCTAGCGCTGCATTTCGTCCGAGAATGAGCGTTCGGCAACGCACTGTTTGTTTTTGCGGTAAAAACTACCTGTTATTTATTGATTTTTTTCCGGAAAGACGGGGGAGGCGGGCAGTTTTTCTGTACACAAATTGTTCTTATGTTGCTTTCTGTTTTCCACAGTTTCCCTCATTGAAGCTCAGGCGTCACAGCAACCAGCCCAGACATGACCACGTCGAGACGCGTCCCGGTAACCCAAGACATCGACGGCCAACCGATCAGCCTCAACTTCGTCCCCGCCCTTTACCGGCGAATTCCCACGTTTGAACCACAGGACGGCGATATCATCCAGGCGAGTTTCCTTTCGGCAGACACTCATATCTGCCTCTGTATATCACCTGGAAAAAAGTTGCTACTCCACATTTCAATCGCATTCATTGTAGACAAAAGTGCTATTTGGGTCTGTTTCATAGAGTTGCGAGAAGACTGTGGTGTATATAATTTTATATCTTCCAGCAAATGCAAAGCAGTGATGTCACTGGCGAGGATAGAAATGTCCTCGTTCAGAGACCACTCCAGCAAGTACGTAAATATTGTCACGGATGAAGGCGACAAGACGATAAATAAACGAGTAAAAATAAAGGTTTCATCGGCGAACTTCTGCCAGAAACAGAAGAAAGAACGAGCGTCGAGAAAGAAGCAGCGATTGCCAGCGGCGGCAGCAGCGAGGGATGGTGCGTCGGCTTCACAGCGGGCTATCGCACGAGTGAATCAGTCGTGAATGAACCGGCAATACCGCTCTCGGCTCCTCATCTCATAAGATCGGCTTCTCGAAGGTTAGGCCTAGATCGACTGTCCGGGAAGGAGTGAAGGCGAGACTGACTAGGCAAGGTCATTCTAGCGTTCTTATCTTTTACGCTAGGATTAAGAGTAAACACGAATTTTATAAGTGATAGTAGAAGCGTTCCTTCTCGTTCATGCAGGCGGCAATATCTGTTGATTTTTAATCTGCCAGATATCCTTATTCGTGACCATACCTCGGCAAACCTCACTCATGAGGGCCCTCACTCACCCTCACTCACCCTCATCTTCACATGTGAGGTGAGGGTGAGTGAGTTTCTGAACCAGGAAAATTCATGAGTGTGAGGGTGAGTGAGGGCCGTGAGGGCCGTGACGGCTGTGAGGGCGGTGAGGGCCGTGAGGGCGGTGAGGGCCGTGAGGGCCGTGAGGGCGGTGAGGGCCGTGAGGGCCGTGAGGGCCGTGAGGGTGGTGAGGGCCGTGAGGGCCGTGAGGGCGGTGAGGGCCGTGAGGGCCGTGAGGGCGGTGAGGGCCGTGAGGGCCGTGAGGGCCGTGAGGGTGGTGAGGGCCGTGAGGGCCGTGAGGGCGGTGAGGGCCGTGAGGGCCGTGAGGGTGGTGAGGGCCGTGAGGGCCGTGAGGGCCATGCAACTCGGAGCAATTCGAATGCGTTTGAAGCGGCTGCATCCAATCAGGGACGCAAAATTTTCACGTGATACCTCGTGCCGGTGATGATGACACCGAAAGACTTGGTTCTGGTTTTAAATGGATCGTTTTTTTTTTAAATAAACTGTTTCAGAAAGGTGCATTAGTATTCTTAACGAGATTGAAATGCATAAAAACACGTTTATAACGCGTAATTGTGTCTAAATAGTGCAAGAAAAATAAAATTTTTTGATGACGATGGCAAATTGCAGCAATTCGTTGCTGCGTGTGATCGCGGGCGGCCCGTGTTGCTGGTGTTGCGACGTAAAGTTTCTGGGCGAAATTGCCCCATCTGAAGCTGGCCTGAGTGGCGTGAGGGCCATCAGTGCGTGAGGGGCGTGAGGGGTGTGAGGGCCGCAAGGGCGGTGAGGCGCGTGAGGGCGGTGAGTGGCGTGAGGGCGGTGAGTGGCGTGAGGGCGGTGAGTGGCGTGAGGGCCGTGAGGGCGGTGAGGGCCGTGAGGGCGGTGAGGGCCGTGAGGGCGGTGAGGGCGGTGAGGGCGGTGAGGGCGGTGAGTGGCGTGAGGGCCGTGAGGGCGGCGAGGGCCGTGAGGGCGGTGAGGGCGGTGAGGGCGGTGAGTGGCGTGAGGGCCGTGAGGGCGGTGAGGCGCGTGAGGGCGGTGAGTGGCGTGAGGGCGGTGAGTGGCGTGAGGGCGGTGAGTGGCGTGAGGGCGGTGAGTGGCGTGAGGGCCGTGAGGGCGGTGAGAGCCGTGAGGGCGGTGAGGGCCGTGAGGGCGGTGAGGGCCGTGAGGGCGGTGAGGGCGGTGAGGGCGGTGAGGGCGGTGAGTGGCGTGAGGGCCGTGAGGGCGGTGAGGGCCGTGAGGGCCGTGAGGGCGGTAAGGGCGGTGAGGGCCGTGAGGGCGGTGAGGGCCGTGAGGGCGGTGAGTGGCGTGAGGGCCATGAGTGAGTGAGGCGCGTGAGGGCCGTGAGGGCGGTGAGGGCCGTGAGGGCCGTGAGGGCCGTGAGGGCCGTGAGGGCGGTGAGTGCGTGAAGGCCGTGAGGTTCAGTGAGGGTGAGTGAAGGGCTGAAGGTGAGTGTGACTGTGAGGGTGAGGGTGAGTGAGGGGCTGAAGGTGAGTGTAGCTGTGAGGGTGAGGGTGAGTGAGGGGCTTAGGTGAGTGTGGCTGTGAGGGTGAGGGTGAGTGAGGGCGACCTAAAATGCCGACCTCTGTTCGTGACCTAAATGTTGATTTACTAGGCCCTGCGCGTCATTGTTCCTTGATAATATTAAATTTTAAGGATCATTATGTCTTCGATGGAATTGATAGTATCACCCAACAGAACTACTTTATTTATATATTTATATAGCGTATATAATTTTAATTTTCCTAGAGGCGTTTTTTGGTTTCTATTCCTGATACTAAATACTAAAAATACACCTGCCAACCTGCTTTTTGTATCCAGAAAGAACCAAAAAACTCTACATTTTTTTTAATCATGCTGAGTGGGGAAACAGACGGACAGAACAGCACAAATTTCCATTTGGAAATTCGTGTTGTCAGCGCCTTGCTGTTTCCCTAATCTTATGGGTTACAAATATCAGTTATGAACGCCTCGCCTGAATCCTTGGACGAATTTCCATAAACTCAAAGAGCGTATTTAGAAGAAAAAATGATGAGCCATTTCCCTTTGTGAAGGTGGACGACCAGCGAAGCTGTTTAGCGCACGACACAGACGTGACACAGCATTTTGAACAAAGATATGCGGAAAACATTCATCGTCTTAATCGGTGATCATCGTGACGAACGACACGCACACACATGTCGTGGACTATCACCGCACCGAGGTGCCGGAGGAAACTAGACACGCGTGAAGGGACCGCCACCCGGCGGAAGAAAAGGAAACTAGGCACGCTAGCGGGGGGCTTGGAACGACGACAAAGAGAGGGCGGTGCGCTTCCCTTCTTCTCCTCGTTTCCTCCTCCTCTCCTCCTGCCCTTGAATTTGTTCATGGGTGTAGTGACTACAAGTCATGCCGTTATTTTCCCCGCTAAATTTAGCGGGAAAATTGACGTCACGTGACACAAAGTCGCGACGTCTTTTTTTCCCTAAATGTAGTGGGGAAACTGAATTGGTTTGAGGTCACATGACGTCAATTTGCCCGCCGAATGTAGCGGGAAACGTTCCCCGCCAAATTTATGGCTAGGGTCCCGTGGATTTTTCGCGTGCGGCAAAAGGAATGACGTCACGGTTTCGTGACGTCATGTGACGTCACTACTTTGTTTCACGTGACGTCAATTGTTTCGCTAAATTTAGAGGAAAACCCGAGTGTGTACGACCTTAAGGACGACTTCTAGGACGACCTCGAGGACGACACTTAGAGGACGACGCCTAAGACGACCTCGAGGAGCGTGCCTAGAGACAAGGGATCAGAACCTTACTCTCTAGATATGCCAAGGAAGGGTGACTCACGCTAGTTGGCCCCTTTTTTGTTTTTATTTATTCATACTTGCCACGACCAATGGAGCCTTTCCTGTCAACATCCACGGACGCATTTTTCCCCATATCCTAGCGCATAACAGCTTCGCTGCAAAATGTACTAAATTCAGCACTGTTCTCGAAGAAAGCTGTGTACTAAAATATACTCATGTATTTTTGTTATTTACACAAAAAAACAAACAAAATAAACTGCATCGCCGTGAGGCATTATTGCTGGGGGAGGGTTACATACGAAAATTTTTAGAACACAAAATACACACACACACACACACACACACACGCACACGCACACGCACACATACACACACGCAAAGCACTTTTCTATGGCGCAAATATAAAAGGAAAAAAAAATGAAGTTATGCAGACTGTCTATAAAAAAACATTACACAATTGAAGAATAAAAAAAAATTCCGCGAGCCTATTTTTCGGCAAACCATTCCATTCTTTGAGGGTTTTCGGAACGAAAAAAAAAAAGCAAAGGTGTCGGTACGGCAGGAGTGCGGTCTGATTTTTCGGGGGTGATTAAGAAAAATGTTTGGGAAGTATACTTCCAGTATATTTCTTCTTTGCTAATAAGCCACTCAACGTATCTACTTGAATTGTGTATTCATTCTACTTACCCCGATTCATAATCATGCACGTTTTGGCGCCGCTTAATGCTTTGACGCTGGAACATATAGTGCGTGGCTTTCTTTTTTTTGTTTTCGCCAAGGGTTACATATTTCGTACACTGATATGTGCGTACTATCCTACTCTTAATCCCCTCCCTCGTGATGTTGTGTTCCCGTGCCGTCATCGCAGCCTTTCTGTGACGCGACTGGTACCTTATATCCCATTTCAGCCCTAAGCTTACGGTGCAGGGGGAGCTACGCGGACTCTGAACCAATGAAACGCCACCATTGAATCGCCTGACCGCGCTCTTTGCGCGTGGGTATGGGCGGCGGCGTGATAACAGGACGAAACAGAAACGTATGACTGAACCGGCAATCACGAAGCTCCCGCCGCACTGTCAGTTTACGGGCGAACGGAGTGGAGTGGCTATCGGCTGTTGGAGCTTCCCTTATTCTGTTTGAGGCTACATTCTTACAGAAGGACTTTTACTCTATCTCCAAAATATACAGAGCCGAGACATGCGGGTCCTTATTTTACCGGTGGCTTTCACAGCAGGGTTGCGCACATGACTGTCTATTTGGTGCTCAAGACATGTGGCCTAAGAAGGACAGACATGTTAGTCTAATCAATACACTTTTTTTAAACGCCGCACCTGTGAACCATATATATATATATATATATATATATATGAATGAGTGAAGACTGACAAGTGCAGCCGTAGTAATATTGTAAACGATGAGGGGAGAAAGTAATTATGTATCTAAACGAACATATGCAGATGAATGAATCGTGCTTATTCCAATGAA